AGTTCTAGGTGCTCTGATCCAACGGGAAACTGCTTGTGCGAAAATGGGTAGCTTTTAGGAACCTTGAGAGGGCATTTAGGCTTCCCTTCTTATCGTATCTACTTGGCACATAGCCACATAGTGGAAGGTGGTCGCTCGTCATGCATTTGCCTCGTTCCACCCATGCTTGAGAACTATCCACATTTATCCAAGCCAAGTCAAGAGTGTTGCCCGCCCTATGTGTGGGTTCGCCAATTATAAGACAGGTCATGTTTTGTTCCTCCGCCCAACTCTCAATCTCCTCTAAATGTCCATAAGAGTGCGTCGCACCAGGCTGCCAGGCCAAGTGAATTGAATTGAAGTCTCCGGCTACGATTGACCACGGTTGGGGCTTCCAGTTAATTAGCGGATGTATGGCCGAATTGTCGTTGTATGCTTTGTAGACATTGAGAAACTTCACTCCGTTAACAGTAACCCAACGGTAGGCTCCTGTATATTGCGAGACTGGAAATATCTGAAAAGCAGAGATTTCCTCATTTATTCTTGTGTACGTCACGGCTCTATGCCCGACGTTTATCCCACTGTGTAGAATATGACTGTGGTATCCAGGGTGTGATTTTGTCTTGCTGGACCACCAGGGCTCTTGTACGAGCACAACATCTATACCTCTCTCATGTGCACGAGATAGCGCGATATCGTGTGTAAGACCTCCTCTACAAACGTTTATTGACATAAATCTGAGCTTAGATAGTCATCGACTTTAGACTTGATGCCGACTTTGTATATTGTTCTGTAATGATAGACAGGGAAATAATTCATGAGATTGCTTTATGAGAGGCTAGGATTGATTCCGATATTATTTGGTAGAAGACTTGTCCCAACTATCAGCGGGCCACAATGTTTTTATCTATCTACATGTAAATCCCCCATTTTCCAACCACGCTAGCCATACAGGACCTAGCATATAAAACTTGATTAGTATTATCATTTTGGGGTTGACGTTTATTGTGCATTTGCTATTTGAGTTGCATGCCTGACTACTATGCGACACGCTCAGGTATCAATCGAATAATCCACACCAAATCGAAACTACTCACAACCCTGATGATGAGCCCATGAATAATTGGAACAGTAGCCTACAACATAGCACAATTAGGCTGGACATCGTTGATCAATATTAAAGTTCTAGGGGGTATTTGGAATGATAGAAGTATACGTTGACCGTCAATTAGATACTGTACGAATCGTAAGATATTAGCAGTTTAAAGATCAGAGATAAAAGGTTTGGATCAGTGAGGTTTTTGGTTTTACTGAACTTATATTTAGTTAGTTAAAAGTGTTAGAGTTTTGTCTATATCTAAATGTCTATCTTCGTTCTACCTCGCTTAGGTAGAAACATTATGTTCTTATTAGGTGATAGAATAACATTCCCACCACGGAGATCATTACTAACCGAGACCTCACTAAAGCTAGTAGCAATCGAAGATCAGTAGTCTTCGTCTACTCCGCACTGCGTGCAGTTCGGTCTGGTATGTCTAGATTTCAACAATTAGGACCCAATCCGAACAGATAGAGAAGGGACTCTGACCCAAAGGACGCCCTTCATAAGCGGGGGCGGCGTCAGTCGGTAGGACTGACGCAGCTGGTTTTGGAGCCGACGATGGCTGACTTGGTGTTGTAGATGAACCTCTCGCCTTTTCAAGTGCAGATTTCGCTAGCTTTACCGCCTCAAATCTCCTTTGATCTACATTCCGGATAATTAGCAGTTGTAACTTTGAGGGCCCTCCAGCCGGGGTTGGACAAGCTAGATAGTTACAGCTGTCTAACTTGTGGGGGCCGACACGATTCCGATACCTTATTAGTGCCTGGCAATTCCTCTCTAAGTGCATGGTGGATCCACACTTGCCGCACACTAGAGCACGGGAGCATCAACCTGTCGAGTGGTGTCATTGTCAGCGCATGCATATCACTGGGGTCCCCGCTTCTTTTTTGGACATACCCTTCCCGAGTTGTCAAAATGTCTGAAGCCGTAACGGGGAGCGTTTTCGCTATCAAAATGAGCTACCCATGACCGATAGGGTGCTGCGAATTTGGTGTGACGGAAACCGAGTTTGTGATGAATAAGTCGATTTATTAAACTATATGAGGAGAGAAGAGAACTCTAGCTACAACTAACAGGTACTTATAATGACTGATCCGCTGCGTGTATCTACTAACTGATGGTTTTCCTCCAGACATCATACTCGCTAACTAGCCACGTATCGTTGGGTGTTACTTAGTTGTAACAGCGATCTTGCGTCCTGATTAGTATTATCGTTTCGTCTAGTTCCTTCTTCCCCTCCCCGTGCGACCTTATTGTAAACAATCTAAGTATTACGCTTAGGTATCCACCTAAGCTCATACAACGGTCAAACCGTGACATTTGGTCTTGCCCTCGTGGCGAACTATTTTGACTATTGCACTAGTAAAACGTTCTATCTCACAGATAATTTCTTTCTCTGATACTATGACACGCCCATCTGAGGAGACGATATGCGTAGGAATATTGGGCAGCATGTATTTGACCCAATTCTTTTGCGCTTCCAATTTGAGGTCGGGTGGAAGATGACTCGATGACGATAGCAAGTGCTGTCGTACTGGCTCATTTTTGGATACTAAAGCAAATCCGCAAGCCACAGGTAAAATGTGGCTAATTGAATTTGGCGAGTAACCAGCCTTCCGAACTACAGCATCTCTGACTCCAGCTAATGTCAGATTTCGCCACTCATGGTTACGTGGGATTCGCAGGTATAGGCGTTCGATCTTTGGAGCCACCTGTGCTTTGCCTGCCCTACCTGTATAAGAGTTGGGCTTGGCAGTCGTAGGGTCCTTCTTCGCTTTTTCAGTCAAGTCGATGATAGTTTCGTCCTTGTCTTTAGCGAGGCCTCTTTGGGCTACTGAGGCACATTTTTCCCGCTATAATGTCCTGTTGTAGGAGCTGGCTTGGAAGAGCAAGTCGTAGCCGGCGTGCTCTTTTCCGCATATACCTTCGCCGCTGGAGTCGCTGTAATTTTCAGAGGTGCTGCTCCGGAACCGACTTGCAGAAAACTGGCCACCAGGTTTCTCAGGAAGACTCGAAGGGAGTCTACCAAATCTTTGTTCTCACCAGTTAATATGGAGGGGAGAGATGTTTCTATTGCACTAATTGCCGTAAAGCAAGTTTCGATTGTAGCATTCATACGAGCTGCCCGCTATCTTTCCGCATAGATCAATGCCACCAGCCCCGGTGAGCCTAATGATCGATTTATCAGACTTTCCAACGACTTTTTTGTTTTCGGTGGCAGTCTTGTGTCCGAGGCTAGTGTTCGTATTGTCGCCTTGGAAGCGGGCTTGGTGGTGTGAACAGTGAGAGAGGTTCCCGCTGGCTCTTTGTCTTTGTTCACTATTGGCATAGTTGTAATTTTCTCTGGTTTCCCTACTGATTTCGAAGGGGCCTAGCGAGAGTCTGCAAGGGCCTTTTCTATAATTTTATCGACTTCAACGTCGACCATATCGATTGCGGGATATTCAGCAATTCCCTTATTGACAGCCGTCTCATAAGCTTCCTAGCCCATCTCATCAATGCATGTCCTTTTTCGTGTAGGCGCATGAGCATCTTATTTTTGGCGTATTCTGCCAGTGAGTGCTGGCTTTTAGTTGTCCGCACCGGGGCACGGTGGACTACGGCACGAGTCCATAGTGAACGAGAGTGTTAGGGACAGGGGAATCTGATTGTGTGTAGTGTTGAAATTATGGAGTTCAGAGATAATTCAGGTGATGATTATGGCAGCTATTGATGAAGGGTTTGGTTGTTGAATTTCCTATTATTTCTGTGTTGGAATATACTTTGTCGATCCCACTGGGCTCGATAATTAGTAGTCCCGACCGACTAGTATTTGGCGAACGGAGATTGCATATACCCTGTGTTAGTGTTTTTTTTTAAATCATTTAATGTGTATTCAGCTATAAAGCTATGACACATGACCGGTGCTATGTTTGCATATTTGATCAATCTTTCGACGTTAGAGACACTCATACTCTGGATTTCATTCGCAAATACCATTATGAGGTATGTTCGCTTACGCAAACAGTCGACCCTCTTCCGTAAGTACTCATCAAAGGGAAGTTCCAAACCTTTGATTATCAAAGCAAGCCAACGTCATCATAAATACCAGCGCCGCGAGAAATGTGGTTGTATTCTGCCGCATTTTAACCAGCGATCTACTGTCTCGAGTGGGATATGTGTCCAAGATATCCAGACTCTACTTGTAACACCGACAAAGACGATGTACCACCGCACCATCCAACTATGGCGGGGTTTGTAGTGTCAACTGCACTCTCACAACCGAAGTCTCAGCGCACACGAAGCTCAACTTGCGAATCTTCTTTCCAAAATTTAGGAGTTTCACGCCTGTCGAGGTTAAATCCATCCTATGGATCATCTTGTGAACCTGTCCTGACCACTCTCACGTCCATCCAAAAGAACTATCTCCAAGAGTTATGCGCCATGTTTTGATCCCTCCGTCGGGTGTAAATATCGGCGCGGGCGTGTACTTGGTGGTCAACTGAGGCGAAAGACGGTCGAAGAGAGGTATGGTTATTGGAATAAGGATTTACTAAGTCGTACCTGTAAGCTTGATGAATTATTGATGTGGATCAATTATGTTGGGTGGAAGAAAACGATTTGGTGGTGAGTCTTGAATCATTGCCTCGTGGGCCAACTTGTTCGGTATTGTGAAATTGGACTGAACTTAGCTCTGGGAGAATTTTCACTCCCAGGTTCGTAGAAGGCACCGCGTACAGGTATTCAGTCTTGCCCTCCTTAGTTGTAGCTTGCATGTTAAGAAAATTATACTGCCAAAGGTTAATGGCTTGGCCTCAAATACTATCTAATACATAGATTTTTCCTGCGGTAGTACGACAGGAACATTCCAAAGACGCCCATTCAAGTTCCCTAATACATGTCGTGATACACGTCTTCCATAGGCACGCAGAAATCGGAATTAATCTTGTTGCTTTTCGTATCCTTCAGGTTTCTTCATACCGTTTATTTCGAAGAATCTAGAGGTACCTAATAAAAGTGAGCATTTTCACTTATCTCTTATAGTACTACGAACAAGAATAGCCCTTCCAATCAAAGTTTTCTTTTGGATCACAATGACATTTCTGGTCGAGCCTTATTTTCTCTTCCGTCGGACAATGAGTGAATGGTACATGATAGTAGGCGATGTCATTAAAAAAGTGGATCTCATCTTTCTTGAGCAAAAGACTTGCTGCAATGGAATGTATTGGAGCGTCACCCCATCTTTCATAAAAGAATCCTCCGTCTTGGTCAAGACTATCAAAATAATCAAGATAAGCACGAGACCGAAGCCAATCGAGATTTCCGATCTCAAAGTTAGACCACTACAAAAACTTAGCTCTGTGTAATGCCATGTTGTTACCTGTCTACTCTTACCATGTGGCAACGATTAAAGCTTTCACCTCCATCATCACTTAGGAATCCCATTGAATTATCTTTTGCGATATGTTCTGGGTGGGCTTTTATAAACTTTTTAGTGCTATCCCAGAGTGTAGGGATTGTTTCCACGTATTCATAGAGACTCAGAACAAAGCTATATTTCTTCTTATGATCTGCCATGTATTTGAAAACATCGTAGTTGATATCGCAGAAGAGTTCAACGCTTGGCTCAACTCTCCAGTACCACTCATACTTGTTCATTAATGGTTGTCGAAAGAAGAAGCCAGACTCAAAACGACACATGTGTCGATAACTGATAGAATCACCGTAAATAATTTTCTTGGCACCCATATCCTCACGAACTTTACGCGCTCTTTCTTGGTCTATGTGAGGTGGAAAAGACCAGTGTTCTTCAGGTATCTTTCCATAATGAGTTGTACCAGATACAAGTGCGGTAGTTACTTTCTTAAAGTTTTCATCAAATAGTTCGTCGTTTAAGAACACCCAATCATAGTTATATTTTCTGTTAAACCGGTCTTCGACTTGCCGGATGGACCGGGCAATTTGCCAAACATCTGAATTACGGGCCAGAGTAACAAAAGTTGCATTCATCTTGGAAACCTCTACTACCACTGGGGGTAGGCTTACTTCCTCATCTAGTGTCGTGTCTACAACCGGTGATGCGATCGGTGATGCGATAGGTGATACGACCGGAGATGAGAAGTTTGAATGAGAAAGCCTTGAGGGAATACCAGTCCATTTTTTGCCTTTCTCTATTATGTTGGAAGGTATATCAGAGGACGAAGAAGAAATGAAGAGGAGTATTACAAGTCCCTGTAGTTTGCAAATAAGTCAGTCCATTTATAATTTACATTTAGTAGGATGACAAACAAAAACTCCGAAGAGAATATATCTCAGGTACCTGGTAGTCACTGAAACCATACTTTACGAATCTTGTATCGAAGAGTTTATGGTTTGGTAGAATGGTGCTTCGCATTAGGCGCTCGGGTTTATTTATGAAAGATATCGCTAATCGTCTAACAACCCTCCACTCTCGTAATTATGTCTAACCATTCGTTTCGCCGATTGTATGAATTTGACAAGGTCTTCTGGTTAAAGCTTTGAGTTTGAATGACATTTATGCTGTGAAGTTGATCTTGAGAAGTAAACAACTGTAACGTTGAAGATGAACACAATCGACAATACAACATGAGCAGGCTAGTGCGCACGCTAATAACATTCATTCTCTAGATTTAGTGATCTCAAATTGAGACTGCCTCGGACAAACTACAAGTTTACAGGATAAGTTGTGAAGATAGTCTTGTAAGTGCGACTCACATCTTTCAAAAAAGTGACTATATTATGATAAACCAGTCAACGATATTGAAACTTTGTTTTATATAAACCATCTTATATAGCCGGGTCCTTTGTTCGCTAATAATACAACTCCCTTTGGTTTTCATTCATTTCCGCCCAGATTTCATCAATTACAGGTGCCAAATTTCTTTCTGTCACTTACTAGACTAAGTTTTGCAATATAAGAGCTTGAAGTAATAAGGAGTCCCCAAAAATATGGCCTTCTTTGGCCTTGATTCAAATATGCCTCATGGCAGTCACAACAAATCAAGTACGGGGTTCCCTCAAGATTCAGATATAGACCAAGATCCCTCACATTATAACGATGAGGATGATTTGTAAGTCGGTTCTTCTAAAATATTTCATACCCGAGGCTTCACTGACATGTCGCAGTAATGCTTATGAGGATACGTATGACGGACTCGGAGAACAACTTGACGAGACAGGTGATGACTTTAATGATGACACATTTGGTATCGGAGGCAGTAATGCCGTTGCTTCCAAAGCTGAGGGAAAAGAATACGACTTTTTTGGTCGTACCGCAACCATTTCGAATGCCATCAGTGAAGGCCAGGCAAAGTATGCTAAACAGATACCAAACACAAATAATAATCTCTCATCTACAAACAACTGCACACAACTGCTATCAGAAAGTCTTGGCAACAAGTATGATCGTTACAAAGATCCTGATCATATACCGGACATGCTCGTGGACGCTAGTATTTGGGGACCAAAATTTTCGACTCCCGCTCCAGCTTCAGTAATAGATAATTATTCTACGCTTAAGCCTGGCCCTGATAAAAGAAGGATGATGAGTGTTGAGGAATTAGAGTCCTCGATGTTGGGTCAATCCAAGACGCTGGGACAGCAACCAGTCCAAAGTTATCAAAACCATCATGAGCCTCAAACAATTCAGCCTGAGATAACACAAAGAGAACAAGAGTATGGATTTTATCAACACCCAAAAATAGCCCCTCAGACACCCAGAGCTCAATATCCCCAGAAGCAAACGCGACCGTCTCAGGAGAATCAGTTTCAACACAACATGCGAAGACTCCATGAGCCGAAGGATCACGTTACAAGTAATACAAAATCACCAATTTCTCATGCAGGGCAAAACCAAAGATATTATCCAACAGAACAGCAGCGGACTTCAAGTTCTCGGCGCTCGTCAAATCATTCTTTTCCATCAGGCCCTCAACACGTTATTCAGCCGCGGCATACATTGGATTTAACAGAAGAAGAGAGAGCTAATATACTGGTTGAAGATGCCAAACGTGAAAAGAGAAACTATAAAATATTCCTTCTCTCCAAAGATAATGGCCTGATGACACCACAAGACAAGAACTACATCACAAGGATCCAGTTACAGCAACTTGTTGCAACCACTGGAAATCCAAACGAACATGGAAATATCTCTATTCTACAGGAAGACTTTTATTATCAAGTTCATAATCAGATTCGGGGGGGGGCCCGCAACTCTATAGGTAATGCTGACTCGCCCAAGACAGGGGCAAGTTACGGAAGCTCCAGGAGACAACCTCGCGGGAGTATTAGCCATATGCAGCAAATGGAACAGCAAGTCCAAAGGGCCGTCGAAGCAGCAAAGAATAAGCCCAAGAACAAGCAGCTAGTCATAGAAGGAAGTTTAGGCAAAATCTCCTTCAGTAACGCTAAAACACCGAAAACACTTCTCAACATCAGGCTTCCTGAAAGCTTGTCCGATGTGAAGGCTGCTAGTGCCGCCAGAGATCGTAAGGTAGCACAATCTAGTGTGAGTGGTAGTGATCGAAAAACAGTTTTAACTGACATCGAGAATGTTTATAATACTTTGATGCAAATGGAGGATCTTGATCGACAAATACCACCTCCAATAAGTGAGAACGATGTCAGCTCTCAGCTGGTTAACAGTCATATCACCTGGCGAGAAAAGGCTCACAAATTGAATCAAAAACTATGGCATCAACTCAAAGTTCATGAGCCTATTGGTGCCACAACAACCCATCCATTCATTGCCATTCTTTCATTCGGCAAGGGAATGAAGGCTATGCCAAGAGTATTTCGGCACATCTCACATGAACAACGTACCACAATTCTCACAATAATAATTGTTCACCTTGACCAGCTTGTTGTGGTAAGGCAAGGAATATTGCAAGCTGGTGAAATTGAGCTCAATAATAGCGTTCGAGAAAGCATAGAAATATTTTCACTTTCAGTGATGCCACCACTTTTCAGTTATTTGAATGAGACCGGATTAGATATCGTATCAGGAATCATGGGCTTGTTACTCAATCTCAACATAGATCTTATAGCCCGAACAAGGATAGGTCTCAGCATGCTAACTATGATTCTAAGTCGTGCTGAGCTCATCAAACAATCTGGAACAGTTTCTGAACAGCACGAATGGGAACAATGGTACGTTTAACTAACTCAGATTTATAAAAAAAATGCTTACAGAGGGTGAAGGCTTTCTATCTACAATAGATTTTTTGATACGCTTGAACCGACAATACCAAATATTTTCCCAGGTACAGTCAGCACTGGAGAAGATATTTTTGTTTGGCAATTCCTCGCCGCAGTTGGCATAGGAGCTAGTGCAGAGCAACAGCAGCGTCTAGTCATAGCCGTCAAGGATCGGGTTATGGAAATTGTCACATTGGCTAAGACTCTTTCCCCTGCAGTATCGAGCCAGCGGCTCGCAAATGTCAATCTTTTCATGCGTTCCATTGGATTAGATGTTCAATTATTGGCGTGATAGAACGATAGAGAGTCTATTGGCTTAATATAAACATTTGCTTCCAGCAAAGTCATATAAACTAATAGTTAAAATAACCGCTAATATTAGTTGGCATGACAAGACCCTCTTGTCCACTTTTGACCGTATAATTCATCATATACAAGTCATTTTTTGAGAAGGGGAACTATTGTGAAAATGAGCGCATTGACGTTCATCTTGCGAGAGAGAAAGGTCGAAAGGGGTAGATATTGTCTCATTCCCCACACTACCTAGAAATTCTGGCTTCCTATTCAAGCACCAGGACCTGTAGTAGACTTGATACCCCGTCCTTAGGAAAGATAGAATAGAGCAAGCAGATGACTAATGTTGTAGGTTAAAGAACTATACAATTGCATAGCAGCTCACATGGAGCATTTTTCAGACGCCCAGATATTTGAAGTAGGCAGAAGTGTATTTTTCTGAGTATTGTTTTCCTCGCCCACTTTTTTATTCCAGCATGTTCTTATATTCACTATTACAGGGGTTAGACTTCAGACAATTGATATCTGTGATCCAATTATACAGAATCGTTGAAGATTCTGTCAAATACCACGTGTTGTAACCCATTTATAAGGGGTGAGATTGCACCTTGAAAGTAAATCTATTATTGTACTACCTCAGAGATTATAGTCGGTCCGACGAAATGACTAAGAATCAGATTTCAACTGTCTGAATACTCTTTTCTTCAAGCTGAGGTGCGTGAATAAAGTAAAGGGTTAGATTGGACTTAAACTTAACTCCCCTGATATTTGGTAAACTATGAAAGAATGTGCGTCTTGAATACCAATATCACAAGTCCCTTATCACACCTGTATATCTGTTTGTAAAAGTCTGTTGTGATCTGAATGGTTTTTATTCTATATATCTAAAAGCTACATCTCTACAGATGTGGTGTATGCAATAGTTATTCCAAACCTTGCGCTGGGGTACTATTATCCGAATCTTCCGGATCCAGAAGAATATCGAACCCCAATTTCTTCTGCACCTATGACGGCTAGTAACCGATAGATTGCCTGTATCATGTGCTATTCCGCACAGACATTTTCCTAGTGTCAGCTCTAAGTCACGCACGTATTGAAAGTCTAGAACTGCTCGTATTTGAAACATTGTTGGTTACTAGCCCACACCTGAATAATGGGAGCACGATTGGAGGACAGCTACTAGTGTCCTGAATAATGGTATTCGAGGAAATTTTCTTAACACCTGCCAGTGGTATCCCCTACGAACCTCCAGCTCTCACAGTAGAGTGTGCAGAGCAGAAATTGAGTAACATCTTTTCAACTTTGAGCTGAGTTATCTCCCCCTCTGTCAAAGTTACGCTTCCGATAATACACAAGACGACGATAATGATGCTGGGAATGAGGAAAGATAATGCGGTACCAAACGCTACAACGGTAGTCAGAGAGGCCCTCGTTATATCACAACATTTGCTGCCAACCGACGGGCAAACAAAAAGCCCACGAAAGCAAAGTAGAAGGCCCTTCCGCCCTCAAGGAAGGTAGATTTCAACTCGTCATAAATATCGTCCCTAATAATCTTAACTTCCGAATATACTGGCCAGGAGGGTGTCTGAAATACATGAGTTACTCGATGACCCCACGTCCGTAACGACCTTTTTTTTTTTTTTAAATCATTTAATGTGTATTCAGCTATAGAGCTATGACACATGACCGGTGCTATGTTTACATGTGGGACGACCCTTTTGACATTAGAGACACTCATACTCTGGATTTCATTCTCAAATACCACTATGAGGTATGTTCGCTTACACAGTCGACCCTCTTCCGTAAGTACCCATCAAAGGGAAGTTCCAAACCTTTGATTATCAAAGCAAGCCAAAGTCATCATAAATACCAGCGCCGCGAGAAATGTGGTTGTGTTTTGCCGGATTTGAACCAGCGATCTACTGTCTCAAGTGGGACATGTGTCCAAGATATCCAGACTCTACTTGTAACACCGACAAAGACGATGTACCACCGCACCATCCAGCCATGGCAGTTTTTATAGTGTCGCCTGCACTCTTGCAACCGAAGTCTTGGCACGCACAAAGCTCAATTTGTAAAAAATCAATACCAAAAATCAATATTCCTCGCCCGTCGAGACTGTATCAATCCTTTATATCATCATGTTAACTTGTCCTGAATCCTCTCACGCCAATCCAAAAGAAAAGTCTCCCAGATTTGTGCGCCACGCTTTTTGTCCTCCGTCGGGTATAAATATCGGCGTGGGCGTGTATTTGGTGACCGGCTGAGGCCAGAGAAAGTCGACGAGAGATTTGGTCACTGAAACGAGGATGTACTAGGTCGTACTTGTAGACTTGATGAAGCTTAGTTGAGAATCGGACTCTTTGGGAGTGAAAGATTGACACGGTGGAGTAATTTGAATTTTTGCCTCGTGGGCCAACTTCTTGATATTGCGAAATTTGACTGAACTTGGCTCTGGGAGAATATTTCACTCCTAAGTTCGTAGAAGGCACTGCGTACAGGTGTTCAGTCTTGCCCTTCTTGGGTAGTTTTTATGGCAAATTGGCATTAGAGTCCATGGAGGATACCCAGTCTCTACGTAACAGCATTACAAGTAGTACTGTGTACAGTATGAGAGACGTGTTATTGATATCGGACAAATGGCATAGTTGCTCAATTGGGAGCACACTTTGGTGTACTGTATACTGGTTACGTGATTGGTCTACGAGCGAACAAGCTTGTGGATAAGGTACGGACTTCCCCCAATCTGTAACATAATAATTATCATAGTAACTTAACTTATGTACAGTTCTTCGGTGGAATACATCTTTCCTCAAATATCAAAGCGTGCAAATACACTACCCAGGAGGGATTACAAGCCCTAGGAAACTGATACGCGGTTTGCCGCAGGGCTCCCCAATTTCGCCGATCCAATTCTTACTCTATATAGCAGAGTATTGAATGCACAGAGATGCTTTAAAAATGTTTGAAGTGGATTGAATTCTCTGTCCTCTTCAGATCTCTTCTCACTAGCTTATATGCATGCAAACCATTTATCATCTATCATCTTATTTCTGCTCGGCCTTTCAGTCTTATTTGAATTGAGCTGATTGAGTAAGAACAGGTTAGGATGTCAATTTCCTGAAAATTACAACCTCAAGAATCTCTAGCATGAAGCGCGCGCATAAATAAAATGAACGAACATGATTTGGTAAGCCTAATCAAAGCGCGCGCGCAAAGGAAATGGGAATGACATATGCTGAAAATTTGCAAATTAGCTCTCAATCAATACAAGTAAATTTAGCGCGCGCTAATCAGTGATAATCCAAGCGCGCGCAAAATACTGGTGAATCGACACAGAGCCTATGCACGGTGGAAACTCTAGAGCACGTTTCAGCTACGCCGATGACATTGTAATTTTAGGAATCGGTGGCAAAGCAGGAGGTGAACAAATTAGTAGATTGGGCGCAGGAGAATGCCATATCCTTTGAAACTGAGAAATCGGAAGTCTTTCAGTTCCCGGGAAGTCGCCTTGAGAGCTAAGTGGGAATTCATATAAACGACAGGTTCATAGAGCCAGCTGAGTACATTCGATGGTTAGAAGTCTACATCGACAAGAGTCTATCTTTTGAAAATCACGTGGAAATTTGGAGTGGGATAGAACTTAAGGTGGCTCAACTTCTGCGACGAATAAACTCAGTCAAGCAGGGGGCAGTCCCAGGAAAAATTAATGACTGCGTTGGAAGCGTGCGTGATTCCAATAGCGACATATGGCGCAGATGTGTGGTGGGCCGGATTGACACGACCCCAAAGACGGGGTCTAGTGACTCCCCAGACGACGCATCTATGCAAGCTGATTGACAGGGCCTTAATTCTAGCCTTAAGAGCAGCACTTCCGGTATGGAAGACTATACAGTCTCTTATGGATGGCAAAGGTAAAATTGTCAAAATGACTGGGTTTAGATCCCTGTACCTATTGATTAGATTGGTTTAGTCCTCCTGCAGGCCCCTGTCTGGTTCGTCGACTAGTTATGCAAGCCAGGAGTGCTATCCAATGACATTCTGTGAAAGTCTGAATTATGAGGATGGTTTTCAACTCAATGGGAAAAGTACAATGGTCCTCATTTTAAATTCAAAATTAAAAAAATCAATTGACATTCTCTAAAAATGCACATCTATTTCAAAAATTATTGCTCTGTATTGCAAAAGTCTAAATCGAAGCCCTCAGTATGGCTCGCAACTAAAATGAAAGTGTACTACATGTTTTGAATTAGTCTGCTCCATTCTAATACTTTGTGTACCCTTCATTTTCCTTTATCGCCGCTATACATCTTTCGTCCATGTTCATCTCACTTAACGGAGGCTTCTTCCAGGCAATGCATCTGCTGTAACCTATTTTATTGAGGGCATTTGAAAGCTAATGCTCATTGCATCCCCAGTGGCTGAAAGGCCCCATCGCTAGTTCCAAATAGCACATCTATCAATTTTCAGGAGAGTCCGGGACGAAAGCCTCAAGCTCATCAACTTGTTCCGCGCTTAATTTAGGTGAGAATTTTTTGCGAGGCTTAGCATTCTCAGTCTCTCGAGCACACGCAAGTTGTACTTGCCTTATTGTGAAGCCAAGTTTGTCGGATATATTTTGAAGTGTCAAGCCAAGTCTTCCTAATGCTCTTCAATATATTGATCGCAAGTTAGATGCCTGCAAACTTTGGTTTCTGAAGCAAACTTTTGTGGAGACATTTTTTGCTAGAATAGAGAATGATGATGATGATTATATTTATCGTGCCAGGCTTACACCCTCCATCCAATGGACATGACACGCATGGAGGATATCTAGAATACAAGTTCCTCCATTCTCCAGCAAAGCCCATCCGGTGCCTGACTTTTCCATATACGTGCCTCACGCAAGTTACATCGGGTCGAATAGGCAAGAACGCATTCACCATGATCCTAAGACCATGTATTGAGGGAAAACCTTCGTGGGAAAACCTCAATAATTCCTCCTGTACTCTTTCACGACGAGCAGCCGTAGTCCCCCCTTAAACAGGCCGTGTAGGAATCCAACCTACCACTTCTAGAAAGCACATCCAGCACCCGACCAGTTGTGCCGACAGCCTGTTGAAAATCACATATCGGAAGAATAAAGGATGAATTGATAGTGATGTTAGGTTTAAGCACTCTGTTGGTTGGGCAGTCAAGGGTGTCTTTGAAAATGTGTCTCTCTAAGCGATTGTTAGAACAAGACGATTGGATCAAACTTCATGGCAAGCGGGGTAATAAGGAGAGACAGTCTAACCTATTACGAGCTAGCCCAGTTACGATTACAGGGCTAATCCCTTAAACATCCCAGTTTCGAGGTTAACATTTTATATCCCAGAGGCACTGTACCCATCGCTGCGCTTCACAGGGAAGGAAGCATTCTACCAGCCAGGATCCTCTTGGAATGTAATCGCCTATGACTTTCTACAAGGTTGCAATCCCTCGATGATCGTTATTCCCTACGTATTCGTGCAAGGATATGCCCGAATGAGGGAAAAATTAAATACAAGAGGCGGAAAAGGCTTTCTTCGCGACCCGATACCTAGACGTTCCGGGTCAAACGAGCTTACTACCAACTACCTCAAGCGGAAAATGCTCAACCACTTCCGGAGCCAGTTTTTGAGAAATCCTGGATTAAATTTGGAAGGAATGGAGGATTATCTAAAATGGAACAGGACGGTCCTCCATCTGAGGTTTGTGCTCATTCAGATGGGTCCTCAGAAGGTCACAGTCGATCAGCGTGGGGTTGTTTACTTCAAAAAGGAGGAATTACCTTAAGGAGCGGGGGTCGCTTCACGGATGCGAAACTTTCTGCGCCGAGAATGTCGGGGCAATAGGCGCATTACGAGCTGCTATCATTGCAAGACAAGGGGAGGAAAAGATAACTGTGCTACTCAACAACCAAGCAGCTATTAGAGCGTTACAGACTGGAGTGAGTGAGTGAGTGTTTATTGTCCTAAAAAGTCTACAACTATGTAAGGACATGTAGGTCCTTTCTGCCTACAGGCCGGGAGTATCTATGCCTCGAGTATGGCCATTTTTATTCTTCCATTAGTGCTCCTTCGCGTCGTATAGCCATCTTAACCTGTTGGTTTGGGTTCCAGGAATCCGAACGTTAGTCTCCATAGTGATTTGATGAATCATTCTGCCGTTGTGGGCGTTCTTTCCTCCGTATATTATTGTCCCCAGTGTGACCCCTAAAATTTCAACAAGATAGTCCTGCTTTAGGACGCAGAACTCTTTAGGCTGCTCCATCCTCAAGGCAGCGTCTCGTTGGGAAATTGGCTGCACGAACACCTCTGTGTTATTACTCCGCAACTACCTTACGGCGTATGCTTCCTCAATGTGTATTTTGCCTTATTAAGCAGATCTGACGGCTGGAATTTGTCTGCCCCTTCTACTCTTACTAGAACAGCCGCTTTTATTGCGGGAGGTGCAACGACCGAGACGTAAGTTGGTCGCCCTCCCATTCCTTGTGTTGACTGAGGAGCAGTCCTGCGCACTGGCTCCTCGAGACTCTTTTTAATTGCCTTCTCTAAGGCTAGTATCCTTTCTTCTATTGGCTGTGCCGACATCTTCGAGTGTGACATCTGAGTGTGGGCTTTGAAGGCGCCAAGGGCCTCATCTATTTCCACCGTCGGTGCCGCAGATATGTAAGTACCTGTATTTACCAGTCTGCTTCGGACCTTACTTAGGTATGTCCCTATTATCTTTAATAATTCATGTTAACGCCTGTAGATGTTGCGAGAAGATTTACAGCCGTAATAGCGGCTGTTCCGCTGCCCATTGTTGGTAGTGGTGGTGCCGTGAAAAAAGTTTCATCCGCCAAATCCACCTTTCTATCTTCCCAATTCGCCATGCCGAAGCGCAACGGAAAAAATTCGGGGAATCAGGTAAAAGGGATCGATTACGATGAATGCAATAATAAAAACGATGAAATAACGTTCGTGTAACGTGGTGCCGCTTTTCGTGAAAAATGATGTTGATTTTTTTTTGTCATGTCTGAGTCTATGACTATAAAGGATATATAGGTCCTCTATGCCTGTGGTATATCCCCTCCTATGCCTCCCATACAGCTCCCCTCAAACAGTACCGCGCCTCACAAGTCCTCATTAGATCATACACTTAGAGGAGCCTTAGCCCTTTATTATCTCCCCTCTCCAGCCAACGAAACGATGGCCATTTGCGGGTGTAAGGCAGCAGGAACAAATCACAAAAGCTACTGGGTGCGGGGATTTCCTAATACCGACATCAGGACTAAGTCCGAAGACAGAGTGCCCCTTCTGGAGCGTTCGAAGAGGCCGGCCGGCTGGGTGCTGCAGACTTGTGTATACCTCGGGAATTTCATACTTTTCCTTTCTAGCCTCCTTCCAACTCCTTTCCGAAGATCGTGCTGAAAGGTCAGAAAAGTCTTGACAGAGCGTGACTGCTGTATGGTAGCTTAGCACACCTTCTTTTGTACCGTCCAGGGAGCTTATGAATATCGTTGACTCAACAATTGAAGTCCTCCTGGCTAATCAGCCGAAACCTTGGACTTGGCGCCCATAAACTTTCCAAAGTCGAGTGCCTCTCGAAAATATTAGTCCCAGCATGGTCTTCTGAGACTTCTTCCTGCTCTCGCTCCACATCTCAGCCGCCTGTCTTCCCTCAAGTTGTTTGTTCCATTAGAGTAAAAGTCACCCTTGAGCCCGGACTCAGGTTTTATAATTTTCGACTTGATTTCCTCCTTACAGATATAAAAAGCATCGTAAATATATGGTGGGAGATGGCTGGAATTTAATTTGGCAAGCTCTAGTTTGTAATTAGAGCAACTCCTTTATCGGTCGTTGAGGCGAGGTGGTGTGTGGAGAGGTTAAGGTAGAGGACACTCGTGAGAATGACAAAATCAACATTGATGAGAAGTCGCCGATTATAGATATGTCTGATTTACTTTTGACTTTGATTTGGACGCGATTCTTCTTTGATATCCTTGATATGTAGAGCATACTGAGTGATGTAACTGGCACCTCTAGAAGGTGAAGAATTCGACTTTATCGGCTCGGATATGATCTTATTGGGTGTAAGACTAATGCGCAGGGGTATTTTTAAACGTTTTTCTCGTGGGTCAACTTAATTTTTAGAGCGGAATAGAATTTAATTTGGCTCTGGCAAAATATTCGACCCAATGATGCGTATAAAATGCCGCCGACTGGTGTTAAGTCGGTGTTTCTCGGGGTTTCGAGAAGACGTTGCTGTCGCGTCACTCCAAAATCCAATGACACTCAGCGTGTCAGTATGTGCTAGATGATAAGCTGATACGAACAACCCTTGGGATAGAGTCTATTTCGATTATCCCTTTATATACCAACCGACAACACGCGTTGCTCGAATTGGCGAACCTCTTTTCGTGCTGAAACGGCATGGATGCCCAACAACGTAATGTCAACAATAATTCGATTCTGGATTTGAGGGGAGATTGACTGGATCACTTTAACTTTTAAATTTCTCAGAAAACCTCTCATCTTTCGATCTCGTTCGCTTAGATTACTACATAGAAAAAATGGTATCACAGGAAATCAACAAACATAGATATGGTAGATTGATTTTTAGCACCCCAAACAGTTTTCAATTATATCAACAAAGCATTGTGATTATAGTTGATTCAAGTTCTAACTAAGGGCCCAGAGCCCCTATTTAATTTTCATGTGTTAGTTCTTCAAAGAACTCATGCTAAAGTTCAAAAAGGCAGATGTCGACTCGACGCAGTAATCGTGTAGGCAGCAGGGCGGCTAGCCGTGGAGAATCGCCTAGCATGTCGATACCAGATGCTCCACTAACTCCATCTCAAGCCCGTTCTCGTCGCTCTACAAAACTCCCATCGTCAACAGATGGTCTAAAGACAAGCACCTCAAGCACGAGTACGTCTTCCCGACGGAAGAAAGCTGTTGTATCTAAAGCAAGAGAAAAGGGCCCTAGCGCCTCACATGGCATAACTGACTCAGTAAATGATGAACCGAATACAAGTAAGTTGGTATTATACGGAGTGTAATTTACATTACTAAAACTACAATAGCTCAGCCTCTTTGTAGCTCCCCTGGAATATTATTGCCATTGCCAAGGAACAAAAGCGGACTGGAAGCAGTAACTGATAGAAGTTTTGATATAGAAAGTGATATATATAGCTCTGCTAATCTTGAATCTTCTATCACTGACTCAGATGAGCTTCGATCAACTCCAGAGTATTCAAGACACGAGACTAAAGATCAAGATGCATATCTTGACGAACCTAGTCAGTCGCATAAAGATTACACTGAACTGACGAGTAACATCTCTAAACACTCGCTAGCACAAGGTACATCGAGTGTAAGTTCTACGACGAAACTTACAAGTGGTTCTAACTGGCAATTTCACGCATCCAGGTAATTAGCCTATCAAGACATGGATTATCAGAATTAACAAAGTGTAGCCTGCGGTTTCGTCTTAACGGAAGAACAATATTGTTGCGAGGAGCTCAAATACTTACCATATTATTCATTATTTTGTTCATTCCCAGAATTTCTAGTTTTGGAAAAGATCTATCGGTGCCTTTTCCGAGTATATTTCACCTGACAGAAGCATCTACAATCCAAAGACGCCTAAGCAAGCTAGAATCAGATATTTCCGTCTTACAGAGGCAGTCAGTTGACATTGACTTCCAGGCCTTGAAAAAATTACAACAAATTTTACCGGATTCAATTGCATTACGGAGAAGAAATGGAAAACCTCATATTCCAGATGATTTCTGGCAGGCGCTGCGAGACAAAATCCTATCAGACGATATCCTTTCTAGTATTTTTGTCCAGACATTAAGTTATACAGATGAAACTGGTGATCCTACGACAAACGATACCCAAGCTCAGAAGTTGTGGGATAGATTCTCGAAGGAAAATGAGCAAAAGATTAGACAATTGAGTGATGAAAAGTTGACTGATCAGTTCCCAAAATTACTGCGCGAAAATGATATCATTTCCAAGGCTGAAGTTATTGAGATGATTCGCGAGAACTGGGAGGATAATAAAGCCTCAATAGACAATGAGATGAAACACTTTACAGCAAGATTGAAACGGTCAATGCAACAGAGCGTACTACAATCCAATATGTCTGCTCAGCATCTCAAGACATTGGCGGCTGAAATTCTGAACTATATCCCAAGTGCACAATTACAAGCTGCGGCACGTGTAAATATTCAAAATAATGTCAAACATGGCTCTATGAAAACAAATCATCTCTCAATGTGGACTGGTGCCCTTATAGACGCTCGTAATACTTCACCGAACTATGTGTTTCCGAGTCAGGCCAGAATTTGGTTTTATGAAAGGTGGGCTCGAGCACTCATGAGTAATCCAGTTCCACTCCCTAAACCTGCAGAAGAAGCTCTCAAGAAATGGGAGGAGCAAGGCGATTGCTGGTGTTCATCGGCTCGAAATGGACGTGGCTTTGGCCCGAGCCTCGGTGTTCTTTTAGGAAATAAAATATATCCTGAAGAGATAGTAGTCGAGCACATTCCAGCCGCTCTTGCATTGCAACCTGGTGCGACTCCTAGAAACCTTGAGCTTCTTGCATTTATAGAAGATCCCAAAATCGAAGCCACTATACGGCGAGAGTCAGAGAGGTTATTTTCAGAAATTTCGAGTGAAGCGCATGATAATCTTAAAGGTTATGTCCGGATCGCAGCCTGGATTTATGATCTCAATGCCCCTTCAAACGTTCAGACTCATGAGATCCCACTAAGTTTGAAGGAATTCGGAACCGATACAAGCAAGGTCATTGTTCGCAGTAAAACTAATTGGGGTGCGGGAAACGTTAACTACACCTGTTTTTATCGTGTTCGTCTTCATGGTCCTATTGCTGAGTTGTCTGAGCCATAATTTTATAAGATAATAATTTTATTCGCCAATTAATTGTATTTCTAGATAATTGTGTCTATTTTTTCACGCAGGCTCAAGAGGCGTGAAATTAAGAGCTTTGATTTTGTGAGAGCTACTCCACGTAATTTTTGCCCACTAGTGCTACAGACAATAATTACAGACTGAAAGATTTGATTAGAATATTCTTCTATATCGTCTTAAGATTCGAAAATCATTTCAGACAAAAAATCTTATCTAATTTGATTCACACCTGAGATTTAAGTAAACTACAGAGTCAAGTAAAACATTCGACAAAGCAATGGGGTTTACTAGGTTATAAAAACGTCTAGTGGCTTTCATGAGAAGAATGATGAAATCAGGGTAAACAATCTACTCGTGCGACATAAACGTAAGATTGGGAAAACAGGGGCTCTAATTAGTGAGATTTAAAGTATTCACTATGTTTCTTTAAACTATGGAACAATATTTTTTGTTAACTTTATACTGGCCTGTCACATAGGGATTTTAGGATGAAGAAAGCTGGCATCAATTATACACCATACATTAGGATTACATAACAAAATTTCGATCAATTAATGTATATCAAGCTATTTAGCTACGACAAGCGACTATGACATTGTATGTATGTATTAATTTCGTATTAGGCAAAATCCCTACGGCCATGAGGCATGATACGGATGTGTAATTCTTAAAGATACATTACTACCTATCAGACCAGTATTCTAGGTAGAGTAAGTACATGAAACCAGAGAGTGTGTGTGTGTTTATTGTACTACTTAAGTCATTGACTATCCAGCACATTGGGCTCCTCTCTGACCCAGGTCACACCTTGTACAGTGCTCCTACCCTCTTTTGTTACTTGTAAGATCATTGATATATTCCCCTTGATGAATAGCCATTCAGCTCAGTGTTTACCCGTGGAATTCGGCCACCTTTTCCACGGAACCTTCTACCCCAAAAAAGAAATAAAAATGGTAGCAATGGAAACTGCGTGCGCGGGAAAAAGTCTCATAATACCTGCAGCCCCAGCCAGGCGAGGCCTAGACACCGCGACCACATGAGATGCACACATTCATCTATGCCTCTCTTCTTTGTAACAGTCGAGGCCGACTTGATCCAATCCACCATCGCCGTATCGGGTGCTGGGTACGCTCCGGAACCTCATCAGATAGCTTTTCCTCCATGATCAAGGGTGGGTGATGAGTAGGGCTCCGACTCTACCATCTAGTCTAGTCGTGTTTAGCTCCATGATAGTGGTTATAGCGGGATGTATTGAGAGATGAAGACGATACTGTGACGAAACCAAGCTGGTTGTAGTGTACTTTTAGAAAGATTAAACTATATGAAGAGAGAAGTACCACAACTACGGGTAATGACTATTTGTACATCCTTCTAGCTCATCCAGTACGTACTCCGTTGGTGAGAATCATATTGTTCTGCCACTGCACGTCGTCATCTTTGCCATCTAGCTGACCCTCTCACTTGGCAATTCTACTTCGCCGTCTCACATTCCCTCCTAGCTCCAATGTAATGTAGCCAAGTGAAACTTGGTCGTTTGATACAAGATAATACGAAACACTCTCCCTAATACGCCCCCAAACTCCGCTTAGGTCTCCACCTAAGCTAAACCACGGTCAAACCGTAACAGATACAGACTGCGAAAGCGATTGTGAATCCTCATCGAAGCGAGGATGAAGGTATTACTCAATCTCGACTCTGCAGACTCTACAGTGAGAGCTGGAGGTTCGTTGGGAACACTACAGACAAGTATTGACAAATGTTCCCCAAAAAATTTATTCAAGTTGAAATAGGGAGCAATACTGCTACCAAATTTTAATGACCCGTTACAGAATAGGCCGACAATAATATCTTGAGAGAATTTAATACAATATAACCAGGTAATTTACTTTTTAGTAACCTTTAAATACATCCAATCCTTAGTTAAGCACATATGAATTCAAGGAGCCAATGCTCCACGTTTCTAAATACAAATTTAAAGATATTTTCCGCTCAAAAATTTCCTTATTTTCCCATCGAAGTCACCGAACGCCCTCGCAAAATATGAAGATCCTAACGCTATGCTACAAGTCAAATATTGAACAGTTCTACACAGGGCCCGTAATGTAATGAGCCTTAGCCTTGAAGTCTCTACAAATAGTAGTTCTGACTAAAATCAGGAGAAGAAATATTTACTTTCTCTTAGTCGTGTTACATCGAAATCACCCTTGATAGCGTTAGAAAAAACCTCACATACTATTACTCAGTAACATACCTTTTCCGGAATTTTGGGGATAGTCAAAGGGAGCCATATGTGATCAACACGGCGTATCTTTTTCGCAGCTTTGATTGTCGATTTATTCAAAGATTTTTCAAATTTTGTAAATTCAGCATCGAATTCGCTGGAATCGGCCATAAGTTCTGCTTCAACTTCGGCTAAGACATCGGCATAGTCATCAGATTCGGCATCAACTCCATCATGTCCACAATCATCGCTATTTTCATCAGCTTCGCCCAAAGTGTCAGCCGTCTCTTCACTCGATTGGTATGTCATTGGATCACACTGTTTGTCCTGATCAGTTTGCTCAAGCTCAGTCTCTACGTCTTTAGAATTACTGCATTCGGTTTCATCTTTTTCATGGCAGTATAATTGATAAATACTGCCGGGTGTTTCCATTAAATTACCTTCTTCGACATCTTTGGGGTTAGACGACGCTAGAAGCTTAATTCTCTTGAACTCCAGTATAAGTTCGTTCGCACGAATAAATGATTTACCGCTTGCTTTTGATGATTTAATATTGGAAAGAACTCGCTGACTCGAACGCCAGGCGACAATTTTCCTGTGTACTGGGGTGCCAGCTTTGATCTGCGCAAGATACATAGAGTCATGGTATCTTGCTTTAAACTCAGAACTAAGGCGACCAATGATATCCTCGCTGTGAATTTCAATAAAGCTTTCGCGTAGGACATTATTCATTACGTCAATATCACAGGCGTGTGTCCAAAACGAGTCGTGAACGGCCGCAAATGAAAGACCAAGTTTATCGCACCCTATTGCCGACAGGATCATGTGCGAGGCATCCAGAGAATGAATAAAGTTAGGCGGAAAGCCTTGTAATTGCTTCCTTTTGCTTACGGGACTATTTTTACTAGGCTCGCAAAGGTTTATATTTTGCATATTAGTCCTGACAACCTTGCCCTTCAAAGTACGGTACGGCTGGACAACTGGTAAGCCAAGAGGACTTGTCCATATTACACCACTCTTAAACATCAGCATGTCGTCAATCTTCGAGGGCCGGCTTGATTTCTTTCCGTTTGATTCGTTTTCTAGGCTCTCGAAATGAGATTTATAGAGATTATCCCATTCTGCTTCCAATCTAGATATTTGTTGTGCGTTCAGCGATGTGGTGATTCGAGTGGCACATTCAGCGAGCCAGTACTGGATATCATGTGCTCCACGGAACATAGTGGAAAGTGCAGTGAATATCTTTCGAGCGACATATGCCGCATCATTGTGGCGATTCTGTGATTCTGATTCTGGCTGATCAATGGAGGGTGTTGTCTGGGATGCGGCCAGTTGCTTTCGAACCTGCGCAGAAGCTCCTATGAAGGTTACCCCATACACATTAGTCATTACTGTTTGTTTGACAGTTTTTCGTGTAATCTTTCCTTCCAAAGCGGCCGCTAGTGGATTACCAGCCTCTTTGTCTTTGGCAATATCAATCCGCACGAGATCAGCTACAGCTGAGTAGACATCTGCGGGCTTTTCTCCAGGCTCCAGGTTCACTTGTTTGGCGCCCCAAGTGTCGCCACCTAGTGCCGCATAATGCTGTAGCCCATTACAAGTACCATCTTGATGTACTGGGAGATGCGACACAAATTTGGTTGGATCAGGACTTTCTAGAGCATTCTTAAGTTCTATGCAAGCGGCTAGACATTGCCACGGGTCTTCAGCTTCTAGCCACCACTTCTTTCCATTCATAGGATTCAAGGCAGAGTCATAAATTTCCTCAAGCTTTGATGAAGTGAAGCTTTCCCGGTCCTGAAGGCTTGCCTTATCATAGCCATAAACATTGGAGATATGGATTTTAAGCCATTTTAGTCCACTTTCACCAAGTTCTTTTCCTCTTCCGAATATTAAAAGACCACGGCAGTGGTCTGCACCAATATGATTGAGATACGGTGGAAGGGGGTATGCTCGACCTCTAAAGTCAACGTTGTGTGGGAAATAGAATTCTTTGTCCTTCAGTGCTTGGGCAATCTCAAGCTGAAAGTTCTGAAAACATCTTTGAGAATGCATACCAGTTTTTATATTCTGTGCAATTTTTACTTTTCTAATCCATCTACCTCTTTCCAAAGGATCAGTAGTTGAAACTGGCTCTGGAGGGACGTCTATTTTAGGATTTAATGGTGGGAAATTTGCTATCGCTTCTCCCGTATTCCATGCTTGTAACATTATATCAAAGACTTGTTGGTTTATTCGCCAGGATGTTTTGCCTAAAACGTTGAGTCCTTGAACGACTTTGGACATTTCTCCTTGAGAAATGGCAGCTTCACAATAATGACGCTGTTCTTCGTCACCCTGCTTGATTCGCATAATCCTAGCTGGATAAACTATGTAGCCCCCCTTTTCAAACCCTCTCCAATCATCTGGTTCTACAATCATAGGAAGATGTTTGGCGAGTAAGCTGTGCACTGGCTCACGTTGGAGCTGTTCAATGAGAACTTTGTTCATTATAACAATACCAGTTTTTTTTCCTTTCTTATACTGATGTGCATGAGTGAAAGCTGATTGAACCTGTACTAATTCTTCATTTGTTTCTGGATGCTTGACACGAGCAGATACTTTTGCTACTTCCATCAAATGTGACATTAAGACTGCTCCAACTTTTGCTTTCAACGGAAGTGGCCATGGTTTCGCGCCCTCTTCGGCAAAATATCGATTCATGTGTTTCGCTGCAGCTCCAGCACCTCGAGAGCGCTTCAATTTAACATAAAATTCCGGGTTTAGGCGACGTTTTAACTCTGTAGGCCACATATTTTCTTTTTGAGCTTTTTGAAGCAGATACATTGTGCTTTCGTCTTCAATATTTTTCCCAATTTCCAAGACGACCGTTGAGAGAGGTGTACGCTTGTCTGTGTGTTGTCCCATCAGAGTCATGCATGCTATAATCGTTATAGCTGCTAACTGACTTGCTGGTAGTATACGAAGAAGAGGTCCGTACATACATCGGTCAATGTCAGATCGACCTTTATGCTCTGAGTCTTCTGCGTCATTGACTAGACTAATTTCCTCAACTAACCTCTCCTCTAACTCTACTTTCCAATTCCACATTTTGGCACCTAACGCACCCGATTGAAGGCTCGGATTTAGTCCCATTTTAGTAAGAAGATTATTCTCTTCCCTCCAACGATCTATCGCAGAATCTACAGCATCTACTTCCAATCGTTGCTGAATTTCTTTTTTAAACAATTTGTCGGCCTTGGACAAATCGATGCCATCTTTCATAAGCTCACTAAAAATAGAAAGTGATTTCTTGAGCGAGGTTAAACCGAGTCCTTTTTGCTTTGTCTCGAGGACTGAGGATTCAGATGACCCTTTTGTGATTTTGTCCATATGGTTTTTGTCAGTAGTGTTCTTTTCATACTGCTCCCCGCCTAGCTCGAGGGCAAAATTGAACTTAGGATGTATTCGAGTGACATGACCGATTTCTTGCTCAGTCAGAATTCCAGCTTCTGTCAGCTCAAGAAAGGATTCCTCGTCCAAAAAATCCATGTATTGCTGCACAAGTCGGTCCCGTCTTCCTTTACTAGACTGAAGAGATAGCTTCACCATATATCCCACTGTTTCCGAATCATATGATACTCCGTACACCTTAACGCTTGTTTCAAACCAACGATGTAGTATTTGCATTTGAAGTTCTTGCCTGGGGTTCATCATTATATGTTCGACAGCAGCGCGCAGGTATAGGTTGATGCACTTCGTGGATTCAAATTCCGTCAAAAACCCTTTCTCATTAAGTTTGTCGAGTATACTCCTTGCTCTCTCCAACCTTCCAACGTGAACACATGCTTCAAAAACAGAAACTACCTCTGTGTAATCTCCACTAATTCCAAGCTTTCCGGGTCGAACTTTTAACACACGCGATTCAAGATTGTTGTCCATGTTGTAAAGATCAGGCGGGCCGAATTTTGGATTAGTATCAGACCCAGCCATTCTGTTACCCATTCCTATTATAGTTGGTGGAGGGCCGTTCATTTTTTCGAATGGGACTTCGTCTGAAGTGAATGAAAATGCTGTAGCCAGTTCCCGACGTGAAAGCCGACTCAGCATTTCTTGCAAGGCCTTTTTTTGACTGAGGCCTGGTCTCTGAAGAGTTGAAACGACTGATACATGGCGCAATTCTATAAAATGATTGGAGCTTCTAAGTAGCACGTTTTGACACCCTTGATTGCAAAATATACGGGCCTGATGAGGATTTGGGGTGGCTTTGCGTCGAGCAGCCCTTGAAAGCATTTCGTTTATGTGAACTCCAAGGAAAAAGAGCGCTCATGCAAGTTGTTGCCTTCGGTGGTTGATCGTTAGATGTGGAATACAATCATGAAAACCCTGAGGAGGGAATAATATCAGGAGGAATGGGATCTTCCAATTCTAATTGATGTCGACGCCTAGGCTCAAGAAAATTGTTCCCCTGAGTAAATGGATGACAGGCTACACGTGATGAGGATTTATGGAACCCTGTAGGAAAAGTCTAAGATTCGTTCAGCCTCGTCTAAGAAGCCGTTGCATAGCCATGCTAATCATTCTTACCATCATAGATACAACTAGTAGATAATTACCGTAGCTGTTTAGTCTCAGAATATGCTGCTATCAACACTTCAATCCTATGATGTGGTGATCGAGGATCGAATACTTGGCAGCGGTTCCTCCAGCAACTTAAGCCTGAAATATTCTCCCTAGATCAAGTTCAGTCAAGTCTCGCAAAGCCGAAGAATTTGGCCTGTGAGGCAATGGTTTAAGACTTATCACCGAATCGATCCATTGCTTTCTATGAGATGGATTCCTACAGAAACATTATTAAGTCTACAAGCACAACTTAGCATATTCTCGTTTTGATGACCATACGAATAATCGATTATTTTCTGGCCTCAGCTGGCCACCAAATATATGTCAACGACGAAATTAATATTCGCTAGAGGAGACATATTGTTTCGCAAAAATCTGAGAGGAAAGTTTTGGAATGGACGTGAAAAATACCAGGACAAGTTTACAAGATGTTGCTAACGGTGGATGCCATCTCAACGGGCGTGAAATCTGGAATTTTGGCAAGAAGTTTCACAAATTAAAGAGCATTGTGCTCAGTAAGCCTTCGGTTGCGAAAGTTCATGCAACACCATGAACAAAGTTATATTTGGATTGTGCGGTGACATATCATCTGGGTCAGTCTCCCAAGTAGAGTCTGGATAGCTTGGATATATATCCCACTTAAGACAGGAGATGGCTTTTTCGAATCCAGCAAGGCTGAATCACATATCTACTGGTGCCTGTGTGCATGGATCACGAAGGCATGTTTGGATAGCCAAAAGGTTTGAACCTTCCCTTTGCCGGGTACTCATGGAGGGCTGACTGTTTGTGAAAGCATACAAACCACACAGTTCTATTCTCAGACGAGATCCAGGGTATGGGTATCTCTAACGTCAAAGGAGTCACGCAACATGTATTCAAAGCTGCCAGATAGACAGACGCAGCCAGTGCAGACAACACAGGCATACATGCGCCGATTGATGCACAATCGCCGACAGAAACTAGTGGAAGACTGGTGGAATAAGTCGGGTCCGGACAGATATCGAGACCTGGACTTACAGATGAGACGTTGGAAACCACCAGAACTAGGTCTTTCTAGACAATTACTCAATAAGCTCTTGGCAGCAGAATCAGGACATGGAGACTTTGCGGATTATCACCGCCGCCTGAATCACAAAGACGCGAAACTGGAATGCATCTGTGGACAAAGGACAACGCCAACTCATTTTATCCGATGCAGGAAGAATGCTGCTATAATGCGCAGGTTGAGAAGATCCATGACCGTGGAGGACTATACCAACCAACTCCTTGGACCAGATGGTCTCGAGAAGTTCATAGAATTTGCAAGGAATACCGGCTGCTTTGGGAGCAAGGATGCGAGGGCCGGAGTGATTATTTTGTCAGGACGAGAGAAATGACTGGGGGGGCATAGGATGAGAAATACTAGCACCGCTCCTACATGTCAATTTGCTCTGTTTTAGTTGGTTTTGTTTGCTATTTCTTTCGGTTTTTGGTTGTTTGTAATCAGAGTCACATAGTGACAGTGTGGTGGGCACGAGTAGGGCATATTTTTTAGGATAATCCTTACCGAGCCCATCTGTCCCGTGCCATAAGGCGCTGGGCTGGTGCCTGGGATCTCAAAATAATACAATACAATCCATCACACAATTTTTGAAGGAGGACGAAGGCTGAACACCTGTCAGTGGTGTCCTCTACGAACCTGGGAGTGAAATATTCTCCCAGAGCCGAGATTCAGTCACGAAAAAGGGGGAATTTTGAGAGTTTTCGTCGAGTTGGCGATCGGGAGGAGTGGTGTTGGCCCATTTTTGGTCGAAGATCCGACTTGCAGAGATTTCACGACTGCACAACTCAACGAAATCAACCATATACACCCCAGATACGAACCGCAGACAGGCTATAATCTGTCTGATGTTCGTATCACAACAACCGTCACCTTCAAGATCCTATTTTCTTTTATTCTGGAAATTCATTCTCAGCCAAACTCATCTCGCGGGCCTCTCCACAATCATCTCATCACCTAACAAAGTAATCTTTTGCGATTTCATAGTAAGAGGAGCAGAAAGAATAGCTAAAAGTATATTGTTTCCATTGAAATTCTAAGTTACATGTAAAACGCGAATTTATGTGCACATACCCTAGAGTTAAAGTGGGTATGCGAACAATAATTATTACAGTAAAAAGTCTTCAGCACAGCTGACCACGAAACCATTGTGCGGGGAATAAGACAATACTGACCCCGCACCATTACAGCCATCCTATTTGTCGCAAGGTAAACTTGACCATATCTCTCACTGCATTTACATATAGTATCATACTAACCCGCACATGCAAATGCAAGAGAGAATATCTCAATAGCGAAAAGAAATCAAAATTTAGAATACAGGATGAAGTAAACAGCATGTAGGAAAGTTGTTCATATTTGCAAGGAATGCCGATTATTGTTAGAAATGTGGCAAATTCCAACACAATGCCATACCTTCAAAAGCCAAATTGCCAACAAAGAAGCAAGAGGATGTCCAACCCTACGCAACTGCCAATCGCTGTTAAGGTACGGTCGAAATACCGGCCTTAAATGCGTCCTCACCTCGACTAAGGGCACCGACAACTCGACCTGCGACGAATCGCCACCGACGAAACACGTACCACATTTCGCCGGCACATCAAACAGAGCGTTTGACAGAGGTTGGGGCACCGGTGCCTCGGTCTTGAGCTCCCAGTCGCGTTTTCGACCTCCACGGTTAGGGGTACGGCAGCGACGGGGCAAGGTCGAAGGAGTGGATATTCTACAAAGTTTCTGGGATGACGAGATCGGCTTAAGGACAGAGGGATGCTGCATGAAGGAACAAAAAGGAAAACAAACTGAGGAAGCCTTGGTGGGCGACTGGATGAGGCCTCCAGTGAAGTAAACGACCCCTGGATGAAATGAGGAGATGCTGAGATGAGCCAAAGCTGCAAATGAATCGAAGGTAAAAGTTACAGACGGCGAAGGTGTCAAGGGCTTGGGCGCGTGGTGGCCGAGGCTGAGGAGGAATTTGCGCTTCGGCGCGCCAAAAGGTGGTTCTCTGGACGGTTGGGCTTGACATGATTCAACACATGGGTGAAGTCTGAGATGGTCCGGTCATTCAGGTGGGACGAGGTACATGTACTTTACGGTAGTTGACCTGATCCGGCCCGGCCCCACCCGTGCTTAAGCTCTAGGGGGAGTGCAACAGGAATCACTATACCTAGCATGTTAATGAACAAAACAAAACACAGGAGGGCAAGACTGAATACCTGTACGCGGTGTCCTCTACGAACCTGGGAGTGAAATATTCTCCCAGAGCCAAGTTCAGTCAAACTTCGCAATACCGAACAAGTTGGCCCACGAGGCAATGATTCAAAATACTCCACCGTGTCAATCTTTCACTCCCAACGAAATCAAGTACTATCTAAGCTTCATTAAGTTTATAAGTACTACCTAGTACATCCTCATTCCAATGACCACATCTCTTGTCGACTTTCTCTGGCCTTAGCTGGTCGCCAAATACACGCCCATGCCGATATTTACACCCGACGGAGGAAGCAAAGCGTGGCGCACAAATCTAGGAGACAGTTCTTTGGGATGGACGTTAGAGGACTCAGGACAAGTTATTAAGATGATGCAGAGTATGGATATAGTCTTGACGGGCATGATATTTTGAGTTATGGCAAGAGTTTTACGAATTGGGCTTTGAGCGCGCCAAGACTTCGCTTGCGAGAGTGCAGGCAACAGTATAAACACCACTGTGGTTGGATGGTGCGGTGGTACATCGTCTTGGCAGGTCTGCCAAGTAGAGTCTGGATAGCTTGGACACATATCCCACTTGAGACATTAGATCGCTGGTTCAAATCCGGCAAAATACAACTAATATTCTCGCGGCGCTGGTATGCATGGATGACGAAGTCACGCTTGGATAACCAAAGTTTTTGAAACGTCCCTTTGGTGAGTACTAACGAAGGAGGGTCGACTGTTTGCGTAAGCGAACATACCTCATAATGGTATTTGCGAATGAAATCCAGAGCATAAGAGTCTCTAACGTCAAAAGAGTCATCCAACATGTATACATGGCACCGGTCATGTGTCATAGCTCCATAGCTGAATACACATTAAATGATTTAAAAAAAAACAAAACACAATTTTTTGAAATTCGAATTTTCGAATCTTCACCTTTTCCTCCTCTCCCTCCCTCTCGCGCTCGTCGCATTCTATCAAATCATTGTGATCGAGTAACTGGCACTTTCACCATGCCACCTGTTCGAAAAAAACATCCTAATGCCAAGTTGGACAACACGAGAGTCCACCCGAGGGCTCTCGAACAAGTACCTGGCCTTGCCCAGTCTCCGAAATGCGCGGAGATGAGCAAGGTCTCAATCAAAGGGAAGGAAAAAGCCCTCCCCGCCGTCACTGAGCCCGATACTGACATGATCGGGTCAGTTGAAATTATTGAGGAAATCCCTCAGCGACCCTCCGTCCCCCACGGGATTGGAGAATCGTCAAAATCTCCTACGACCAAATCAAAACTGTCGGAGAACGCTGCGCCTATAGCAGCGTCAACATCAACGTCGCAGCCAAAAGCTGCCACGAAAGCAGAGTGTCCCCTCGAGCTCCGACCAATAGTCGAAGCTGAACAACGATGCGCCGCCGAAATAACGGCAAATCTAGGCCTCTGCTC